CGTTACGTGCCGAGGAATTCGTATGGCCGACGGCGAATGCGATCACGGCATTACAACGTGAACACCCCGAGCGTGAGCGATGTTCGACCTGGAGCGCCGAGAAGTAATGTTTTTAGTCGGCCTCGGGGAAGATTTGGATCCCTGACGATGCGCTGGACATGCAAGTGCGCATATGTGTGGTGGGTCATGCGGGCGTGGCTGGTCACCGCCGCGTGGAAGCAACAACTGCCTCGGTAGCCGACATGTTCGATTGGCTGACCCTGAAGGCCGACGTGAAGAATTTCGTCCGCGCATGTCTCCATTGCATGGTATTCGCAGGTCACGCGTTGTCGGGGCGTTTCTCAACGCCGAACTCCATCGGCTCCAGGCGGTAGCTCTTCTGGAACGTGAGTAGGCGGCCGAGGTGGGTCCACTGGTTCGTACGTCAAGGCGTTCGAGTACTGGAACATCTTCGTAGATGGACAGAGCCAGCTCCCAAGATGACTCAAGATCATCGAGACCGAGCCACTTGACCTTCACTTGCCAGGCACCATCACTCATACGGAGGTCTTGAAGAGCTTCAACGTAGAAACTTTCATCGCCGAATGCAATTTGCGCCTTCAGGTCTTCATGTTACGTACGACTTTGTCGACAGCCGGAGTGACAACGCAGCAACACCCGAACGCCTTGATGTTCGTCGCGATGGTGGCAACCTCCCACCACTACCACCGCGACTACGACTACTGCCCCCTTGATCACGTCCACTGTCCCCCGATCACGACCTCTCGCCAGAGGTTGCGGGTTCGAGCCCTGATTGTGCCATACTTTTTCACTTTTTTGTAATTTGAGCATACCTTGTTGTGAAAAGCATCCTCCTATTATATCGACTATGGCCGCGCGCATTGAATGAGGTTGTGCATGCTTGGATACAGTATTACATTATATCTGCAATTAACGCTGTAGCCGTCAATGGCATGTGCGTTAGAAAGCTAAGCAGCCCATTCAAGAATTGACTGTGAATGCTGCAGCTTAGTAGTATTACTACATTGTACAGTGCCTACTGTATCACTAGTTTGATTGGCTAATCGCCACCATTGCATTGCGTCATAAACAGGCCGATCAATCTGACGATTGTCGCACATACGTTCCTTGCAGAATGATCAAGGAACGCTCTTTGTGATCAGGTACATTAACCCATTGTAAGCTGCGGGGCGGATGACCATTGCACTTCACAAGCAACCTCATGCCACCCAAGAAGAAGGCGAACACATCCTTTCAGGATGTCACACGCATGGTAGCAACCGCCGAGAACACAGTTCTCCGGATCTGGTCCGCACCGCACCAAATCGGCCTAGTCGTCAAGCAGGCCGCCGAGTGCGTGGCCGATGGCACGTGAATTAAATTCACCGGCCCTTCGCGATCTTCATGTGTCAGCAGACCAACCTCATGACATGAACGTCAGTGTCCCAAGCAGACAAACCAGTGGACCCACCTCGGCCGCCTACTCACGTTCCAGAAGAGCTACCGCCTGGAGCCGATGGAGTTCGGCGTTGAGAAACGCCCCGACAACGCGTGACCTGCGAATACCATGCAATGGAGACATGCGCGGACGAAATTCTTCACGTCGGCCTTCAGGGTCAGCCAATCGAACATGTCGGCTACCGAGGCAGTTGTTGCTTCCACGCGGCGGTGACCAGCCACGCCCGCATGACCCACCACACATATGCGCACTTGCATGTCCAGCGCATCGTCAGGGATCCAAATCTTCCCCGAGGCCGACTAAAAACATTACTTCTCGGCGCTCCAGGTCGAACATCGCTCACGCTCGGGGTGTTCACGTTGTAATGCCGTGATCGCATTCGCCGTCGGCCATACGAATTCCTCGGCACGTAACGGGGAAACTAATGCCAGTTTCTGCATTCGGGCGCCTCGGTCGGGCCCCGCTAAACTGCCCCATCTGCTGAGGAGGTCGGCCCACAGATTGTCTTCCCCGGCGACACATTCCACCACATATGGAAATGTTGTCATAGTCAGCGCCCACCGCTGAAGCTTGTGGGTCTGATACTTGGCCATGTTGGAGTTCGACCCCAACGGGTTGAATATGTACACTAGGTTGCGATGGTCAGTAAAGAGCCGAAAACCGCCGGGCCGAATCAGGAGGTATTCCAATCGTTTGCAGGACGCAACCACCGCAAACGCCTCCTTCTCGACAATCGGCCATCCCTCGCCCGAACCTCGGAAAGCGCCACTCAGGAACGCCAACGGTTCGTGTCACTGGTCATTTGCAGGCAGTGCGAGATCCTCGGAGGGGACTTGAGTTGCGACTGCCCCCCAAAACCCCTCGCTTGCATCGGTGTAGAGGCACACCATCTTATCAGGGTCCGGGTGGGACAGAGGCACCATGCGCTGTAGCGTCGCTTTGACCCGCTCGAAACAGGTCAAATGATCCTCGGCCCATCCGACTGAACTCAATGCCACTCTTGTCAACGCGGTTTTCTTGCGGGAGTCGGCTGCTTTGGCCGCGATATCCATCAACCTCGTCAACGGGGCAACTAGCTCGGTGTACTGAGGGATGTTCGCACGCATCCAATTCTTCGCACACAGAAACTGCTGGAGGTCCGCAGCGGTCTGCGGTGGCTCGAGCCCGCACAGGCCTTGCACTCGGCTCGGCGGAACGCACCAGATCGTCCGGGTCGTGTAAAACGTGCATTTGCCCGGATGCAACTTCAAACCGGAAATGTGGCAGATCCCCAGCACTTGTCGGAGCAACTGCAACAGCTCCGTGGTCGTACCGGCGTATCCCAGTAGGTCGTCAAGCCATCCGAGGACACCATGCATGAGCAGATCGCCGAACAGTTCGTCGACCACACCTTTGCAATAGGCCACTGCGTCAGACTGTCCCATTAACACCCGGCTTGGCGTAAGAACACCGACCGGCGTCATGAAGGAGTAATACTCCTGTGAATCGGGGTGTAAGGCAGTTGCCAGTAGCCCTTCATCCAATCCAGCGTAAAGTAGACGCGCGAGTCCTTTAGCACGCCCATTGCGACGTCGAGGTTAGGCATCGGCCACGGCATCGGCTCGGTGCATGCATTGATTGGCCTCGAGTCAATCGTCATCCGCAGGTCGCCCGGATCTTTTTTCGGGACAATCCTCGGGGCAGCCGCCCAACGTG